CCCCCCCCCCCGTTTTTGAAGTTTCTATGTTTTTTTTTTTGCGAGGAGGTAGGGGACCCCCCCCCGACTCGAAACCCGTTCCCCGTTCCCCGCCCCCCAAACCCCCTCCCTGATCGGCCGCGACGTTGGCCGAAATTATCGGTCACGTTCGGCGGCGGCCGAGGGGGTCCTGACCTAGGCCGCCGGCCGCGGCCTGGGCCGAACCCGGCCGCGGCCAGCGTGCAACATAGCTTGAGTGTGATGAACCAGCGTGTGTAGGTGGCTGTTTCAGGCGATTCCAAAACAGAATCGATTACGTAATCGATTTTGTTTTCGAACTGCCTCATACAGGCGTCCGAGCGACGTACAGGCAGAGATCGATCGGTCCATTGATCGATCAATCAATCAATCAATCAATCAATCAATCAACAATCAATCAATCAATCAATGAAAACAAATCTGGAATGACAATCCTAGATGACAAGTCCCACATGCAAGCACTGCCCCTTACAAGCAACTACAGGCCAAACGATCGGACAAGACCAACCAGGATGTTAAAACACACTTGCCTGCAAAACGATAAACCCAAGACCAATCCCACATGAAGCACCGCCATCCCTCCCCAAGATAGACCAAATAACGGGGCAGATCCACCGGAATCATAACAGATAAGATTCACTTCTACCATATTCATAGTAAAAAAATGGAACCATTCAGCACGCCCGCAAAACATAACACCCCAACAATGGGGAAGATTAGGGAGAAAAAATAATCCATGGCACTGTGACAATCACATTGTACCATATTCATAAAAGAAAAGTTTAATATGGATTGTATTATTGCGGTAATATTGCCTTTAACTTTAATGCTCAAAAGAAAGAATAGATTAAAAAATCAAACAATCAATACGAGAGCGGGCAGGAATATATCGTCACACAATACGAGAGCGCCAAAGTGAAAACAAAGCGCCAAGGCCCTGGAGTGGGAGGACGAGGAGGAGGAGGAGGAGGAGAAGGAGTAGGAGGAGGAGGAAGGCGATGAGGAGGAGGAGGAGGAGTAGGAGGAGGGCGAGGAGGAGGAGGAGGAAGGCGATGAGGAGGCGGAGGAGGAGGAGGGGAGGGATGAATGCGAGGAGAAGTATATCGTCACATAATACGAGAGCGCCGAAGCGAAAACAAGAACAAAAACGGGGCAGAGTGCCGAGGCCCCGGAGTAGTAGTAGTAGTAGTAGTAGTAGTACTAGTAGTAGTAGTAGTAGTAGTAGTAGGAGGAGGAGGAGGAGGAGGAGGGGGAGGAAGAGGGCGTGGAGGGGGAGGAGGAGGAGGAGGAGGAGGAGGAGGGCGGGGGGGCGATGGCGAGCATCAATGAATGTCCTTGAATGATTGATTGGTTGATTGATTGATTGATTGATCCGTCCATCGCTCACTCCCTCTACTCCGCTCGGACGCCTGTATGAGGCACTTCCACGACGAAAAATTTGGGATCGCCTGAAACAGGCACCTGTACGCGCCGGTTCGTCACACGCAAGTGCC